CTCTTACAGAAGACCCAGGTTCCATTCACCACCATCTGTAACCTCAGTTCCAGGTGATCTGACACCCTCTTCTGGCCTCTGTGGACACCAGGCATGCAATCATACATATAAAAACAGAAAACATGGACAGCAGGACATGTTCCCAGGGACCTTCACCCAAATCAAGTGGTAAAAGGACTAAAGTTGGAAGGCTAACACTTTCTGATTTCAAAAATGTACTGTAAGCTGACTATGGTGGTTCACACCTGAAATCTCAGCATTTGGAAGGCTGAGACAGAGGCTTTCTAGGAGTTCAAGGCAAGTCTGGGCCACACATGATGCTAGGCCAGTCCTTTTTTTTTTTTTTTTTTCCAAAAAAGGAAACATAACAAAAATGAAACAAACATTACTAGTAAACAATGTAGCACTAGTGTAAATGGACGGTATCAACAGAATTAAGGCTGAGAATCTTGGGCTAAGGAGACAGCTCAGTAAGTCAAAGTGCTCACTGTGTCAAGACCTGGGTTCAAATCTCCAGAACCCACATGAAAGCCAGTTGCCACAGAACTGTATTTCCTAGCACTCCTACAAAGAGATAAAGGTGAAAACAAAAGAATCATCAGAAGCTCTGCTATATTTAGCCAAAAAGTCCAGACAGAACAAAAAAGAAACAAAAGGACCCTTTATGAGACAAGGTAGGTGAGGACTGACATCCTACAGCTGTCCTCTGAACGCCACTCACACCCTTACCTGAACCCACAAAGATAGCTTATTTTACAAATTGAAAGCCCAGAAGCAAATCTTTATGGGGTTAGAGACGTAACTCAGTTGGTAGAATGCTTACCTAGCATGTTTGATGCCCTGGGCTTGATCCCCAGTCCACATAAGCCTGCACTCAACAGGTAAAGGCAGAAGGACCAAGAATTCAAGACTGTGGGACATCTTTCTGTATGCTGTGAATATGTGCTGCTCTGATTGGTTGACAATAAAGCTGTATGGCCAATGGCAAGGCAGAATAAGGTTAGGCAGGACATTCAAACTGAAGAAACAGGAGAAGAAAGGAGTCGGGGAGACACCAGCCTGCCACCAAGGAGCAACAAGATGCCAGCAGACCGTTAATGCCACAGCCACATGGCAATATATAGATGAATAGAAATGGGTTGAGTTTAAGTTATAAGAGGTAGCTAACGAGAAGCCTGACCCATAGGCCATACAGTTTATAAATAATACAAGCCTCTGTGCGTTTACTTGGGACCAAGTGGATGCAGGACTCAGGTGGGAGAGAATTCATCTGACCTTGGGCCCAGTCAGGACCAGAGAAACTTCCAGCTGCACACAATTATATAAGTTCAAGGCTAGCCTGGGACACATGAGGCTCTGTGGGAGGGAGAGAGGGAGGGAGGGGGGGCTGGGGCTACAGGATTGTGGTCATTTCAAAGCTAGCCTCAGCTACAAAGTGAAACCCTGCCACAAAAGCCAAAAAGGAGCCATGAGTGGTACTACATCTGTATTCCCTGCATTTGGAAGATCCAGACAGGAAGATCAGGAGTCCAAAGTCATCTTCAGCTAGCTTGGGCTACACAAAAGAGATACTGTGTTTGGGGGAGGGGGTGTGTGGCTCAGTTTAAAATTTGATGGTGGAACCAGGCACCATGGTATGTATACACTTTCAGTCCCAGCACTGGGGAGGCAGAGGTGATGGGAATGTCATTCTGTATGCTGTGAATATGTGTTGCTCTAATTGGTTGATAAATAAAGCTGTTTGGCCAATGGTGAGGCAGACTAAGGTTAGGCGGGACATTCTAACTGGAGAGATAGGAGAGAAAAAAAGAGAGCAGGAGACACTGCAAGCCGCCGCCAGGAGAAACAAGGGGTAAAGTACTGGTAAGCCACAAGCCATGTGGCAAGATTTATAGAAATGGGTTAATTTAAGATATAAGAGCTACCTAGCAAGAAGCTTGCCATGGCCATAGTTTTAAAATAATATAAGCCTCTGTGTGTTCATTTGGGTCTGAGCGGCTGCAGGACCAGAAAAACTTCAGCTACACAGAGGCAGCTGGATCTGTGAGTTCAAGGTCAGCCTGGTCTACATAGAGAGTTCCAGAGCAGCCAGTACTATGTAGAGAGACTCTACATTTTAATTAATTAACTAATTAATTAAAATAAACTTAATGGTGGGACTGGAGAGATGGCTCAGAAGTTAAGAGCACTTGTTATTCTTACAGACTAATCCGGGGTTGGTTCTCAGCACCCACAAGGAAGCTAACAATACAGTTCTGAGGGAATTCAATGCCCTCTTCTGGCCTCTGAGGACACTAGGCATGCAGACAGTACATAGACACATATAGGCAAAACACCCAGGCATATAAAATAAAAGCATTAAAGGAGAAGGCAGCAGGAAGCTCAATGACAGAGTACTGACATACGTAAAGTTCTAGGTTCAGTCCCCAGTACCACAGCAGACAGATAAACCTGCACTGCCAATAGTAATGATGCATGCAGGAAGTGCCACTCAGCCACCTCACCCCTTGACTGCTACAGCCAGGCTCAAGGACTAAGGATCAGTATCTTCCCATAAAGTGGAAGGGTAGAGTAGAACACTGCTGAAGTACCATGATTTTTATGAGCTAGCTCTGCTCTCACTCCCATTGGACAGACTTTAGGTAAACTTAAATAGAAGATCCCATGCTGACCCAGCCCCTATGATGCAAAAGAACTAGGCCCAGGGAAGAAAGCATATACACTAATCATCCTAAGGAAGGAATGCCCTGGACAGTGATGACAGAAGGGAGATAGGGCACTGACAAGATCTGAGCAGCCCCTGCCACAGCTGTCCTGGGTGCAGTTGCCTCAATGAAGGCAAATCTCTGGCCTAGCTACTCCCAGAGCCTCAACACACACTAGGATTTGACTAGTCATCTCTATCATAATGAGCCCTCAGACCACTATGACACAGGCTCAGAGCCAGCATGAACCAAAAGGCCTTGGTGTAAGCTAAAGGCAAAATTTGTTGACAGTGAGCTCATATGATGACACTGCCCCAGCACCACTTAAAACCACCATTCATTCATTCACTCATTCATCCCCCTCATTTCCCAAAAGAACCATGGATTAGCCACTCACGTTTTAGTAACATACAATCTCAAGTAGAAACCGGACAGATAGAGTGGGAGTGGGGGCACACGCCTTTAATCCCAGCACTCAGGAGACAGGCAGTTCTCTGTGAGTTCAAGGCCAGCATGTTTCTACAAAGCAAGTTTCAGGACAGCCAGGGCTGTTAACCTGTCTCAGGAAAAAAGAAAAAAAGAAAGGGGGACAGATAATGCCGGGTAGTGGTGGAACATGCCTTAAATCCTACCACTTGGAGGCAGAGGACCTCTGAGTTCGAAGCCAGGCTGGTCTATAGAACAAGTTCTAGGACAGTCAGGGCTACAAAAGAGACCGTCTTGAACACCCCACCCCCACAAAAAAAAAAAAAAAAAAAGAAAGAAAGGAAGGAAGGAAGGAGGGAGGGAGGGAGGGAAGGAAGGCAGGAAGAAAAGGGATGGACAGATCAGACAGTTCTACTTATCCCTGATAGGTCACAATGACAGCTCTATAGACACAGGCCAGCCCCTACTAGCTAAAAGCTTTGCAGCCACCCTCTCTGTGTGCCGAGCCCAGCCACCTTTAAGCCTAAAGAAACCCAGAAGATGTATTTTCAAGTCTAGACTAGAAACTCCCAGATTTAAAACTTCTAAGCCAGTATTTTCTGTCTGATCTTAAAACCAGAATCGAGAAGAAGGCATCTGCAGTGAGTATACCTACATTCTTCTTTGGTAAAGGAGACAGTCTCTTCACAAGAAATAATTAGAAGTAACAATGGAAAGAGTGTCAGATACAGGGAGAGAACCTGAGGCTCAGATGGGCAAAGCAGAAAAGGAAGAAGGTAGTGAATGTGAAAGAAAAGAAAGGAGAGCATATCAGTGTAGATCCAAGTTACAGGCTAAGGGGACTAGAAGTCACCGGTGTGCAAGTGGGGCTGTACAATGGACAAATAGTGCCGCTCTGAGAGAGAAGGCAGGGAAAGAGAGGTAGAACTCTTTCACATATAGTAAGAAACCTGATGTTAGAGGGGTCCCCAGGGATTTAAAAAGAGAGAGAGAAGAAAGCTAGACTAACAAAACTCAAGCTTTAGGGTGAAGAGAAAGTAGTAGCAAGTCAGCAAGTAAAGACACTGATTATAGGTTCAAGGGCTGGGATCCTGCCAAAGGCTCAAAGCGTCAGAGTCAAGCAAGTGTCAGATACGTGACAACCGAGAGGGCCCCATGTGCTTGGTGGGAAGCACTTCAGGCGAGAGGGAGAAGCAGGAATTGTGCGCTGAAGTAAAGTGCAGTCAAGTGTCAGGAACAACAGGGGATCGAAGACGAGGCAAAAAGACAAAACCAAAGCAAAGCCTTCTGAGGAGGAAGCCCAGCCTAATGGATGGCTTCCTAAAGAATGTAGGGCTATCTGGGGTAGAGACGGAAGAAAAGGTTCAGGAAAGCACAGTGGAGGGGAGAACACACAGGCAACTGGGAATAGCAATTCAAGACAAACAGAGGTACATACTGGAATGCACCAGGAATAAAGTCACAGATGCAAAAATCAATGGAGAAAGCCAGCGAAGGTCTATATGGGAAGGCAGCTCTCCTCCAAAGTCGACAGAAGGGTCTCAACCTGACAAACAGGGCAAGTCATTCAGAAACCAGGGGAGATGAGCAAGAACAGGAGCACAGATGCATACTCCTTTTCCTTTGTTAGTAACTACAGATCTGAGGGGTTTGGGACATCTGCAATTTTAAACACCAGTGCAAAGCCAGGATTCTACTCAAGAGCCTAAGGCCATACCCTACCCTACTTGTCACCTTGTAGCCACTGCCCACTTCTGCCCATCTGTGGGCTGCCCAGACTAGGAACTTACTGAGGAACACAGAGTCAGCAGTAGGAGCACACCACCTGAAAGAATAATCTAGTAAGGAGTGGAAGTGTTCAATACTCACAGGAACAATAAGCCCTTGCCAAGTCAATAAATTAGCTTCATCAACCTGGATGTTACGGAAGTTTTTCATTCCACATTTGCGGATCTCTTCAAGCTCCTGTTGATTAACAAAGCATAAAGGGTTGTCAAATCAGGGAAAGTACCACATGTTAAGATCCCTCCTGACTCCCTCAAATTAAACCTGGTGACAACATCACCAATGACAACATTTGAGTGAGCACCAGAACATACCTCATCAGGTAAGGAGGCATGGAGCCAGGTTAGTCCCATCTGTAATGTCACTGCCTCTATAGACCCTTGCCCCAGACCAAGCCAAGCCCCAGTCTCAAGCAACCCATTGAATACAATGAGAAGAACCATGCTTCTACAGATATACCACGTCCTCTTTGGGCTAGTAATGCTGCCTATTTAGCCTCATCAGAACCAGGTAGCTCACACCTGTAATCTCAGCACCTGGGAGGCTAACAAAGATGGACTGCTGTGGATTCCAGGCCAGCTAGGGCTACCGAGTGAGACTCTGTATCAAAAACGAAGGGAGGGAGGGAGGGAGATAAAGGAGCTGGTGAGATAACTCATCAGTTAAGAGCACTGTCTGCTCTTCCAGAGAGGTACTGAGTTCAATTCCCAGCAACCACATGGTGGCTCACAACCATCTATAGTGAGTTCTGATGCCATCTTTTGGTGTGCAGGTGTACATGCAGGCAGAGCACTCATAAAAAAGTGAGTAAATTAAACAAAACAAACAAACAAACAAAAAGAAGCCAAAGAAGAACAGAAAAAAGAAAGAAAAGAAATAAGCAGAAGAATTGAAAATAAACAAATGAAGTAGTTGTGCCCTGGCTATACAGGGGCAGACATGCAATAGCACCCTGAGGTGCTTACAGACCTAACTTTTTCCAAACAATCACTAGCTATGTGTGAGAAGCTGAGGCTCTAAAGATGAGTAAGTCTGGAACTAGAAGACAAATAAAGGCAAATGGGTACCCACAAACCTTCCCTACCTAACACGTTAAGAGCAATTTCAGGACTCCATCCCAGGACAGGCACAGGCAAAGAGCACAACTGACCAGTATGGGATAGGCAGGGGGACAAGGAACCAATACTGCGGCTTCGTTTCTTCAGCTACCAACAGGGTGGTAAGTTCCTGAGCTAAACACAATGAGCAGGAAACTACATCATAACAAACTCTAAAACTAGGGGCTTCTCATAAATAGCTAATGTAGCAAAGGTCACTTCACTCAAAGTACAACCACCATGACAAATTATTTCATAATTCTGTTTAAGATGTCTTTAAGATTGTCTGTCACTTGGTTTTCCACTGTGTATCAACCTGCTATTTCCCATTGCTTCCCCAACACCAATAAATATACAGTAGGCATCTTAACCCAAGCCACCCAGAAAGTACCATGACTCACGGCCACACATATACATACATGGTCACTTCCTCCAAGTTCCTAGACTGCCACTCACCACCACTACCTCAATCAGGCCTCACAACCAATGAGATGATAGTCTCTCATCCACCCAAGATGCCTTCTCACCTACAACATGAACATTGCCCTGTCTCATCTACCAAGCTACATCCCCTCTATCCCAGCCCACATGCCCTCTAATACAGGAAAGGCCCCCTCCTTAAGCAGCCATGTTTCACAATGGCAAAGGCCACCCTATTGGCTTCTATGTCACCAAAATCAAAAGATTCTTTGCATCACATATTCCCACCATGCCACAGTAGTTTGCAAGACATTATTTCTAGTTAGTAAAGCTAGAAAGACACAGAAGGAATAATTCTCAAAGTACAGTGAAGCATGGAAGACATATGAGAGGCCTAACTCAGAATGAGCTGAGGAGGAGGAATGCGTGTCCCAAGGGATGCTGCCTGTTTATCAACCTCAGGTGCCTACTATAAGCACCTGGATCAACTCTGGAAAGTCTAGTCCAGCAAGTGTGGCTAGAGACTTAATATGGGAATTTTCAGTACATAGTACAAGAAGGGAAAGGGTGTTACCAAGCTTAACCAGTTCAGTTCTAAGGAAGATCTAGTAATACTGCAGTCCTCTGATCTATACCAGGGGACAATATGGTGAGAGAGCCTGATTGCTCTACAAAGAAAGCAGCAACAAGAACCTGAAAGAATACTCTAACTGCCAGCTACCATCTTGGTCTTCCAACTGATACTCGGAACTCATCAGAAACAGCTGTTTGGGAACTATGAAACAGGGACACACTCAAGAAGGGGAAGGTTTCACACTTCACTAACCACTACTCTTCATGAGGGCCGGACAGACACATGAGGTGAAATATTCCAAATAGAACTGTAAAAACGAGACAACCAAAAAATACTCAGAGCCGGGCGGTGGTGGCGCACGCCTTTAATCCCAGCACTTGGGAGGCAGGAGGAGCTCTGTGAGTTCCAGGCCAGCCTGGGCTATCAAGTGAGCTCCAGGAAAGGAGCAAAGCTACACAGAGAAACCCTGTCTCGAAAAACCAAAAAAAAAAAAAAAGAAAAAAAATACTCGGGAGGCAGAGGCAGGTGGATCTCTTGAGTTCAAGGCCAGCCTGGTCTACAGAGTGAGTTCCAGGACAGCCAGAGCTACACAGAGAAATTGTCTCGAAAAACCAAAAAACAAAACAAGAAAGAAGGAAAGGAAAGGAAAGGAAAGGAAAGGAAAGGAAAGGAAAGGAAAAAGGAAAAGGAAAAGGAAAAGGAAAGGAAAGGAAAAAGGAAAAGGAAAAGGAAAAGGAAAGGAAAGGAAAAAGGAAAAGGAAAAGGAAAGGAAAGGAAAGGAAAGGAAAAAGGAAAAGGAAAGGAAGGAAGGAGGGCGGGAGAGGGAAGGGGGAGAGAGGGAGGGAGGGAGGGAGGGGAGGGGAGGGAGGAAGGAAATATTGAATGTTCATAAAAGAAATGGAATTTTAGGAAGGATCGTTTTCGCGTCTGTGGATGACGCCCTGGGAGTGATAGTTAATGTTTTCCTTCGCGGTTTATTGTTGAACCAATAAAGTCAGTGAACGCTAAGAAAAAAAAAAAAGAAATGGAATTTTAAAATAGCCTGTGTAGGCCGGGCGGTGGTGGCACAGGCCTTTAATCCCAGCACTCGAGAGGCAGAGGCACTTGGATCTCTGTGAGTTCGAGGCTAGCCTGGGCTACCAAGTGAGTTCCAGGAAAGGCGCAAAGCTACACAGAGAAACCCTGTCTCGAGGAAAGAAAAAAAAAAGGCCTGTGTGTACAAACATACTTTGTAGCTCTGGCGCTCTATGCTAACAATATGAAGTAAGGTTGATAGACGTAAGGCAAATTTCATGGGAATTACAAAGGTGGGGCAAGCTGGATGTCGTTTTAACAGGGCAGGAAAACCCAACCTTGTCTAAGGACTGCAGGCTGGGTTGTAGAAGCTCAGCAGCAGGGCAAGTGTGCCGACTGGCAGCACAAGATCCTGCATCACTCAATCCCAATACTACAAAACTACTAAGGAACAGAAGGCACACAGTTCTCTGGAGATGTGGTACACGCAGTTCACATAATGCTTGCCTAGCACCTACAAAGCCCTGAGGTTCAAGTCCTATACCCAGGGTAGATCACAATCACCTCTAACTGCAATCCCAGGTCATCCAATACCCTCTCCTGGCCCATGGGGTGCACAGACACACAGATCAAACACACATACACATAAAATTAATCAATTAATTTTTTAAAGAGTAAATTCAAGACCATCCTGGTGCACATAGGGAGTTTCAAGAACAGCCTGGAGTACACTATACCAAAAAAAAAAAAAGAAGAAAGAAAAAGAAAACCTATGAAACTATGTGCCTAGGTGCTAGGATATGAAGTGCTTCAGTGTCAAGACATCAAGCAGCCGGGACAGTGGTGGCACACGCCTTTAATCCCAGCACTTGGGAGGCAGAGGCGGGCAGATCTCTGTGAGTTTGAGGCCAGCCTGGGATACAAAGTGAGTTTCAGGAAAGGCGAAAAGGTACATAGAGAAACCCTGCCTCAAAAAACAAAAAACAAACAAACAAACAAAAGATATCAAGCAGATACTTGAACAAAGATAAAAGCCCCAAGCCTTCTGGCCACAGAAGGAAGGACACCACTAATGAGTACTGAGCTGGAGGTTCAGGAAGTCCAAAGCAAAGTGATCAGATAAACTCTTTGCTGTCAGGTTAACGTACCCAAGAAGGAAAGGCAACTTCTCTTTGCACAGGTCTAACCAACAAAGAACTGATTCTAAGAAGTGAGAGTCAAGACAGACAAGCCCTGACATCTTCTGGGGATGCTGGGTACCCTACAGAAGAGTGTTTCTCAACGGGATCCAGAACAGAATCATGCACCTCAGCATTCTGAGCCTGAGCATAAAACAGATGCCAGACATTGTGGCTCCATCCTACTGAGATTAACATTCTTTGCAGCCCTCGCTGAGAACAACTGGCACTAAGGGTGGCCAGCATGCCCCAATTCCTGCATTGCCCAAAATGGTTCTGAGCACAAGAGCTGCCTCCTCCTTCACTGAGGAAGGCAAACTGAAGAGCCACACTGCTCATTTAGAGGTTCTATCTAAAAAGCTGAGAGAAAACTACATGAATCCTCAAGATGACATATCTAAAAATACAACTGTGCTCCTACAACTGAAAATGGTCCTAATAATGACCTAGGAAAGAATTTCAAGAACCCCATGTAAATTCAGAAGTTGAAGTCCAAAGGCTTTACTACTAAGAAGGAAGGAAAGGAGCTGACTAAGAAAAGCTGATGAGAACGTTCAGAGGCTAAAGGTGCTTACCACAGAAGTCTGGCAGCCTGAATTCCATCTCCAAAGAAGAGACTCCTGTTAACCGTCTTCTAACATCCACATCCACATGTGACATGAGCACACACAAGCGCACACAAATTATAATAAGTGTAATTTAAAAACAAAACAGCAGCAGCCCAGCTCTTTGAGAATAAGGTCTGAAAGAACTAACCAAGAATGACACGAGCTTACAGAACACACTTCCCCAAAAGATTTATTTCAGTTCTGCTCAATGCCAAAAGCAACCTGGGGTCAGCTGCTTAGGGCTGATGGTGCAATGCTGACAACCAAAAGATGAGCCGGGAGAAAGCAG